TCTTTGTCTTGAACCAAACTCGTTATTTCTGTTAATTCAAGAGTTTCTACTTTGAGTGCTGATCTGGCCAAAATTAATACACCACCTCCACATGTTAATTTTCGAGTATAAAAAGATTTAACTGTCATATTTTTTATATTCAAACGATTTATTTCATTTTCTTTCATTTTATGTTCTGTCAGTACTAATAAATCCACTTTAATTTCATCTAGTAAGATAGACAACATGTCTAGTCTGGAGGGTAGGTGCTGGATATTTTGGTGTAGGATACTAATTTTGTTATTACTATTTTGATTGCAGTTTGTTTTACTTTTATTGTTTTGACGGAACATTGATGCGGTAGTAGGATTTTGTTGTTTTATGTGTTTGGAAGTTTTTTGGAAAGATTGCAGTTTAAACTATTTAAGCCATTTGAGAGAAGCTGTGCAACATCAGGATTACAGATTTGATCGTTCATTAGAATACTATTGGAAATTATACTATTTACATCAAAGCTACTATTTACATGAGAACTATTTACATTTAGACTACACTTTTCACTGGCACGGTTACTCTGCTTTTCCACTTCACTTGACACACACTTCACCGCCTCGCTGTATTGGAGATGGCCAGGGGCTAGGACGGGCTGCTGATGTGATTGCGAAGATACTGGACTAGTAGAAGTCAGGCATATCTCATCTTTCTGTGGTTGTCCGTGCAATGTGTAAGTGACAGGACGTTGCTCTGGTGTCGACCATCCTCGCCATGGTGATGTTTCAGAGATAACAGACAAGTTTATGTCTGGTGTCAGGTGAAGTGGGAGCTCATGAGGAGTGTCCGCTGCTGATTGTGTCTCCGGGTAAAACAATGTAGAGCAGAGATCAATTGTGCTGCTTTCTGGATGCGGGGAGGAGGGTTGTGAGGTTGCTTTGTTGTCCAATCCAATCAGCTGTTTCATCCTTTCAACAAATTTTGCAGGTGACACTCCATTCCGTAGCCTACTTCTAGAGGTGTCATTAGAAGTCACTATAACCACTGAGGCTCCAGTACTGTTGACAAAGTTTGTGAAATTAGAGATAAAGTGTGAAGGCCGAATACAATCACCCACACAGCCCATGGGGGAGCATATGAGGGTCTTGAATTTGCCTTGTTTAAAGTGACGGGTCATTTGATTAAAAGCTGCGTCATAAATTCTGTCATAATTATAAAAGTTATTAGAGTTCATAAAATACTGTGGTTTAGTGACAAGTCCATATACTCCAGCTCCACTCTTTGATTTTTGAAAAGTTAAATTTTTGTCACACAGGTCAGTTGCACAGGGCTTGCCAAAACAATTGATGACTCTCTTCAGAGGCTGACTGCTATGACAATAAAGATATTCTTATTCTTACAATCTCGAAGAAGTGGTAAAAAAAGGCAGAAACCAACCCATACAATAGACATAAGTTAACTCCGTAAGAAATAATTTTAAGAGTTACTGCGATATTAGGATTTTCCACTGATTTGGTAATAAAACATTATATTGCAATTTAACATGACACGATGCAGAAGAAAATCAATTTTAAAATCTGAAAAAAACCATTGCAAATACTTCGTTTTGACAAATTCAGTGAATCACAATTTAAATATTAACAGCTGTTTCATTAAAAAGTAGTGTAAAATTTTACTTATGGTCATAATGTAAACAAATCTGCTGAGGGGACTTTAAAGGCCTCTAGGGCAGAGCCCCAAGGGAATTTACCTTGTTTCTCTTTTGATGGCTCATCTACAGACCAAGACCTTTCTTTAGAGACCCCTACCGAGTTTCTACGCCCAGCCGTTCTCTGAAATTAGCTGTGACAAAAACCTGTTATTCCCTCATAAGAATAACATGGGATGGAAATTTAAAGGCCACTGGGGCAGAGCCCCAAGGGAATTTACCTCGTTTCTCTTTTGATGGCTCATCTACAGACCAAGTCCTTTCTTTAGAAACCTCTACCGAGTTTCTACGCCCAGCCGTTCTCTCAAATTAGCTGTCACAAAGAAAAACAGTTTCAAATTAATATATAGATACATCTTGAGAAGTAGACTAATAACGACGCTGTCGAATTCGCTAGCCTTGGATATGGCAGTGTTGACGATCATCACGTAGGCGTCCTCATATGCTTGCTTCACTTCTATGCTAGCATCCGCTATTGGTGTCATCAATATAGAAATAAATGCGTTCCAGTTGTTATCGTTTGTTAAGAACTTTTCTTGTGGTATAGTCACCTCAGTAGACGAGGAGAACACGACTTTGGTTGCTGACTGTTAATGCAGTACGGTGAAATCGTTCTGCGGCTTTGGTGCTTTTATAGGGATATCCAACATTATAGAGATATCCATAAAATACAACAATCACTTGGCCCCGTAAGTGTTTCTGCACGTAGTTGATGTAGGTAGAGCACAGCATCTCAAACGTGGTTGTAGGAGTTTTGTTCCACACAACTTGATGTAACCTCCATCCTTTGGGGAGGATACCTTTAGGTATCCTCCATTAATTACGTTACATTTCCTGTTAACAAGGTTTACTTTCTCTATAGAAATGAAGAGTGTGTACATTACAGACTTTGTTCCCTTGCGCATTCCTTCCTCGGTAAAGATTGATATAGGGAAGGGGTCGAGTTCAAACTTAAAGAGCTTATTTATATAATGCTCAGATCTTTTTCTGATGCAGACACACTTCAAAAGAGTGAGAGGATCGACAGTGAGTTTTTTACCAGCAATTTCAACGAGCATGAAACGAAAGTGAGAGTCACGACCTTATCCCTCTGTTTAAGTTTAAATTCTTCAAAACTTTCGAACTCACCATTTTCTCAACCTCACCATTTTCTTCATGCATGATATCCCTATCTCCTGTGCTAAGTGACAGTTAACTTCGTCATGACCAATGATTCATGTGCTCAAAGAGCAGTTTATCAATGTCCATGTTATCTCTCACTACATGGGTTGGTCTCATGTCTAAATGCTGCTCAGATGTCTCTGAGCGAACATCAGCAAACAATTCTACTTGGTCACAAATGCGTTGAAGACATAGCGTGCCCAATGTACCTATAGAAAGCAAAGAATCGTCCACGAATGAGTCCTCCATAGCTCTTCATAGCCTGCGTGAAGAGCATTACAGGTAGGGTACCAACCAAACGAGACTAAAACTAATATAGCCTATAACTGTAAGCTACAAAGCGCGGCAGTGCGGCAACACGTCAGAGTATATAAGGCAAAAATGAGTGAAGACAGAAAAGAAACATCTAACGACCTTGCAGACTGATGGATGTGATGGTGATAGTATGGATACATGCATACTAATCAATTACAATTGTGAAATATTCTATAATACGTAGTGAAAAACCCCGTAGGTAGTGTGAAACCGTGGGGGGGGGGGGGTGTAGGGATAGCCACCTTGGTCAGGTGTGTGAGGGGTAGGTGGGATACGGGGGGTATCCAGAGATGGTTCTTATAACTAGGAACCATAATTACTACAAAATTTCTTGATAATTTGTGTGTAATAGAAAAAAAAGTTAGAATTCGGTTTTTTACATTTTTTGGTGGATTTTTAAAAAGTACATTAACACGTCTACTACCGATCGACGCACATTTGCGTCGGTCCGGTCACTCCTACAGACCAAAAGGAATCATCATGACGTTGCTTACAGACCAAGTGATATAGGAATAACATTGCCGACAGACCAAAAGATAAATATCGTTGAAATGGACTAATTGACTTCATATTAACCTTAAGTGAATTAGTAAGCAATAAATATTATTTTTATTTATCGTTTTTTAGCAAATTTTAAAACGTCGCATATATGCGTCGGTCAGTCAATTTAATGAAATCCAGTTAAGAAGATAACATTTTTGTTTCAATAGACCAGGTGACGCACGTAAGCGTCGTTGTAAATTTGGTTGTTTGAAGGAAAAGTTTGAACAAATAAAAATTGTTTTGGTATAAAACTTGTATTTGGTACAAAAGTTAGAACGTTTACATCTGTTCTGTGATGTCGCGGAATACACAATGTAAACAACAATGTTGCCAACTGTTGTGTGACGTAACCAATCGTCATATCCACAGACCAAGCGACGCACATTTGCGGCAGATATCCCTCTAGACCGATATGATAAAATCAGGGCTTTAAAATAGACCGTTGCTAAGAAATACGCTGTTTAATAACATTAGAACACTGACGCAACTGTGCGTCGTTAGTCTATTTCAATGTGACCAGCTGACGCAAATATGCGTCGGTGGTCTATTGTGAGAAAGAAGTCGACGCACAATTGCGTCGCTGGTCTATGTGAACGTAAATTCCATATAATTGTGGTAGCGAACGTGTTAAAATAAATTACTATTGCTCGGTAACAAATTATCGTACAAACATGTTTGAAATATAGAATTGTAGGAAAATGAACGCTCAACAAATCTTAGGGTATGCTTTTTCGGTAGGAAGTAAGAGAAAAAAGTTATTGAGATAAAAGAAAAAAATTGTCAAAAATTTTGAAGTTTTTCCCCCGCCCTCTTTTTTTCCACAGGGTCCTCGAGGTCCAAAACTTGGGAACATGTTGATTTATCATCCCTCAACAACATTCCCAAGTTTCATTAACTTCCGACCTTTTTCCATCTAAAACTACCTGCTGACTGGACTATTGATCTGTATAAATAATAAAGATGATAAAAATGATATGTGATATGGAAAGGACACAAATGCAAGTTCAGGGCACGTTGCTATAAAAAGTATTTAATGTGTTTTATAAAGGAACTTTTACAATACATTCAATAACACAATTTTTTATTCATTTTAATGTAAATGCTAATTGTTTTCATTTCAATAATTTACATACTGTCTACAGAAGAAGTCAGTTCTCATAAAAAAGCAACGATAAACTTTAATGGCCTCTGATCAGAGTTAACGTTGTTATGTAGGCTACTAATTGTTCATTGTAGTTGATTTTATTTTGTTAACATGTTTTGTGTATAGTATTTTGTAGATCATTATTTCAAATTTTTCCAGGGAAAGAGTTTTTCTGCTTCAAACCAACCGTTGAAGGAATTCATAGCAACTCCAGAAGGGAAAACAATAGTAAACCTGATACAAGAGTTTCTTGAATATTTTGGTCTTGAGTTCACAGCAAGAGTTTTTGAACCAGAAATTCAAACTGCTAAAAGTTGTGAATACAATGGGCGGGATAAGCTAGCTCAAGATCTTAAGTTGAGTTCAGGTTAGAAAATCCTTTTTGGTGCACATTCTCTGTGGTTATGTTTTCTTTGGGACTAAAACTTTGCTAAATAAATAAAGAACAGAGTAGTACAGACATTGATAGAACAACCAGTTGATTTCAACAATAACTCGGTGGATTGTTTTGTTGTCTTGTTAAGTTGATGGTTTCAGCTGAACAAAACCACTAATTGAAAAGGAAAACATCTGTTGGCAAGTCATAACTGTTCTGGTCACTGAATTCACTGATTGAAAACAATTGTTTGCAAGTATAACCAAGGCCCCACTAGAAAAAAACAGGCCATGCTGCAGGATCCATGACGTCACACTAGTAGATAGATTTCATTGATAAATTCATTGCCATCGCCATTCCCATATGTTTTAGGTAAATAAACAAGCTGGCTGTCTGTAAGATTTTAATGGTAAGAGTTTAGTACAACTATCCACCACTGTGACGTAGTGTTGCGCTGCCCGCGCTGCAGCATGGCCTGTCTTTCTAGTGGGGCCTTGGTATAACTGTTTCCAGTGTGAATTGTTGTATCAGTAAGTTTGAAAATCACTTAAATCACATGACAATGTTTATTACTTTATAGTTAAATAAATTAATATGATTTAAGTTATGTTAACAATTTATAATAAACTGAAGAATAACATGTAACTATTCAGTATATTTCCAATGATATTTGTCTATAAAATAATTCAATTTCCACCATATTTTTTAAAATCTGTATGTCAATATAATAGTTAATTCTCTCTTCCAAACCATGTGTAAAAATTGTCCAAGCAGACCAATAGGTAATTAATTCAATATAATGTAATATAGAACACTTTTAAATAACCTAATAATGTAAATATGTGATAGTCTATAACATTTTGTAACAAAACTGCTTCAAATTGAATATAATTTACTTAAATAACTTTTCCAAATCCTAAATTAGCTCTTTAACAGATGTAAGTTTTTTTAACTTTCTCCCCCTATACCATAGTAGCCTATATGGAGAATGTATTGTTTTCGTCTAAATTTTCGAGTTTGAGTTTTAAATGGATATACCTGTTTTGGGTCCCCCTGGACCCAAAAAAGTGGTTTTTGAAGTGATGTCTGTGTGTGTGTGTGTGTGTCTGTGTGTCTGGATGTGTACAAAGCTACAGACCACACCTGTAGTCCGATTTTGATTAAATTTGGTATGTTGGTACTAATCCATGGTATCTCCAGGCGTTTTTTAATTTTTTTGAAATTTTGATTTTTTATGTCAATTTTTCCATAAAAACCCATAAAATAACGGAAAAATTGGATTTTCTCAAAAATGGCCCGAACGATTTTGATAAAAATTTAGTATGTTGTAGCCTTTTAAATTCTGCAAAATTTAAATATGCCTTTTAAATTTAAGTTATTGCAAATTATGTTATTTTCCCATAAAAGAAACCATAAAATAAGAGAAAATCATATTTTCAAAAGAAACCGGTTTAGATTGAAATTAGTATGTGGTAATACTTACTATTAATATATAGATAATTCCAAACAACATAGTGCAACCCCCCATTTCTGTAAAAATTAAGGTTCAAAAGTTATTGTAACTTATGTTATTTTCCCATAAAAACCCATTTAAAAAACGAAAAAATTGATTTTTTGAAGAAAAACTGATTCTGATTGAAATTCTTCTGTTATAGTCTTAATAATTCTAAGCAAAATAATGCATCCCTTCATTCCTGTTGAAATTACTGTTCAAAAGTTATTGCAACTTTTGTTATTTTCCAATAAAACCCCCATAAAATAACAAAAATAGGATTTTAGAAAAAATATGGTTTTGATTAAATTAAAATTTAAAGTGTGTTGGACCGTAAAATTTCTAAACAAATATTGCAACTCCCCATTGCTGTAACAATTATGGTTCAAAGGTTATTTGCAACTTTTATGTTTATGTTTTCCCTATAAAATATCATAGCTATCGCGACCGCTTACCCATGATAAAGGTTGTTGACAAGTGTATGGGAGAAAGTAAGTATGTGTCAGATTGCTTATACCGTTTATTTTACTCTACAACACTAGTAACGGACCAATGAGATTCAAGGATTTAGAGAAAAGAAGTGAAATTGTAATGCTTTGATCGTCAACTTATCAGCTACTAAGACAAATTTAATTGTTAATAAGTGGTTGGTACAATGAGTCGTTGCATTATTATCAGTGGCAATGAGATGTTTTAAACAAAAATATAACCTCTCTTAGACGTTACGAGTAGTGATTGTTTGTAATTAATAAAGGTTTTAGGTATAGTGGTGTATGCAACTTGCGTGAGTTGTCTTTAAGTGATTGTTGCGTAAACTACTATTGTATTTGTCCACCAGAGCTGTTTTATATAATATTGATACATACTATATTGTCACAGCTCTTACTTGTCTTTTGTTATGGAGGCAGTGCACTATTACCGACCGTCAAAGAATGTCCTGTTTGCAGTATTACATTTTAGGCCTAGATGTCTTATTTCATGTTTATGTGTTAGTATTGTGTTTGTTCATGTTTTAAGTGTGTTAACCGTTTGACAACATCGAGAGATGGATAAGTTTTAATCCCTGATGGATATGAGTATATGACTATGGCTTAACAAAATCCGTAACCCGGGTCATCCACCACAAAGAACGAGACAGAGCTGTGATGGAAATTCTGGTATGTCAAAAAATAGAATCTGTAGTCAACACAAATCTTAACTGTCCAATCTTGAGTGCAGGATAGTTTCTATAGAATAGTTTTTACTACCGTAGCATTCATAATTGCCTATCAAATTAAATTGAATTAACAATTAAATTTGTCTTAGTAGCTGAAAAGTTGACGTTCAAAGCATTACAATTTCACTTCTTTTCTCTCAATCCTTGAATCTCATTGGTCCGTTGCTAGTGTTGTAAAGTAAAATAAAAGGTATCAGCAACGGTTAACCGTTAACTAATAATAGTTAACAAATAATCCTTGGCTAATATTTTAAACTAATAATATCCTTGAATCTATCCTAGGTGCTAATCTTACTTTTTTCAGGTAAAAAATCTCCTTTGATTGCTCAAGTTTTACAAGATTCAAAACAATTCTTTCCTTTGACTTCTTCATCAAAGGAGGTAAGTTAAGGTATTTAAACTTGTAAAGGGCTGCACTTTAGTTTACGTCCTACACTCATTCGAATGAACAATTTTGATATATTGATTATTTAATTCGGTTAGTTAGGTTAGGTACTAACCCAACTAATCAAACTTGATATATCAAATGAAATAATCGATATATCGATTGATATATTCATTCGAATGAGTGTAGGACGTGAACTAAAGTGCAGCCCTTGTAAAGTACCGTACAAATAATGCATTGTGCATTTCTTTAGTCTTTCATATGTTGTTATAAGCTGGTAAAACCCTACTGCTAGGAGGCTTGAAAACACTGTCATTTTGGTCTACTGAAATAAACTAGAACTATTACAGTTGAAAAGATTACAGAATAGGACCAAAACCAGTTCGAGTCAGGTGGGCGAAGGCAAGCAGCATCCAATCAGGTTTCAGAAAACTGTCTACTGTTGCCAAGTTGTGCTATGCACTCAGTCTCTGCCCAACAGCAGACCTGTGCGTTTAGAGTATATCCTCTTGTTTTGTCAAGAAATCGCCTGTGAGCTGTGTTCCGCCAAATAAATACGGACAATAGTAAGGGACGTGGAAGACCACGAGTACAATACATGTGAAACGTTTACGATATCACAAAGTCAGACCTTTACGTGCCCAATTCAATGTTAATTTTATTTCATATATTAACCCTCCAAGCGTCCATCGTCGAAAAATCGACGCGCTACACACTTTGTGTAGTGTCACACGTCGATTTTTCGACGCACGAACATCGTTTACGGCGAAGGCTCTATTCATTTATTCATTTATTCATGTAAATTGTCACAAATTACACCATATACAGAGGAGTTTCCTCAATGGTAGATGACATGTCAAAAATATGATACATAAATGTTTAAAACTAAATTAATGTAACTTAAACATAATGAGAAAACAAACTCCCCACATGAACCATTTTACAAACCACTATTACTATATAAAATGAAATCCTCTACTGAATAAAACATATGGCTCTTTAGATAGTTAACAAGTTTTCTTTTAAATGCTTTGGCAGAAGATTCATTGCAAATATGAGAAGGTAGTTTATTAAATAATCGGCTGCCTGTATAGAATGGTGTCTTTTCAAAAGCTGCTGTTCGATGTATCGGCAAAGAAAGATTACAATTACGTGTAGGATAGTTATGTGTAGATTTTAAAAGAGTGAATTTGTGAAAATTTTCTTTAACAAATAGAAGGGTATGTAGAATGAAAATGCAAGGTAAAGGCAGAATATCTAGTTTCCTGAAAATTGGTTTGGATGATGCAGTGTAGGGGGAATTTGTCATAGCACGGACAATGCTTTTCTGAATCTTAAATATTGCTGGAGAAGACTGTGAGTTGCCCCAAAATATCACTCCATATGTTAAGTTTGAATAGATATATGCATAGTAAACCATTTTCAAAATGTTTATCTCCAGGATTTTTGATAAGTTTAGAATTAGAAAATGACCTTTATGGAGAATTTTTGATAAAAAATTTACATGCTCATCCCACTTCAAAGAAGGATCAACGTGTAACCCTAAGAATTTATAACTATCTGCTGTCTGCAATAAGGGTTTGACATAAGAGTCATCAGAGTATTTTGAATTGGAGTAGTTGGAATGAAAATCAATAGCAAAAGTTTTATTTTTATTTAAAAGAAGGCCATTAGCTTTAAACCAAGAATTCATAGCAGATAAGTCATTTTCTAGCATTTTAAATAAATTAACCCGGATGGGGTGTTTACATAAAAGAGTAGTATCATCTGCATATGTTATTAATTTGGAGTTATGAACTGCATTTGGTAGGTCATTAGCAAAGACTAAGTAAAGGAATGGTCCCAGAATTGATCCTTGAGGGACACCAGCTTTAACAATGGAATAATTACTTTTAACAATATTATTTATTTTGACTGATTGTTTCCTATTATCCAGATAGGACTGAACCCAGAGAAGTGCATTACCACTCACCCCATAGTGATTCAATTTTTTCATGAGCAAGTCATGGTCAACACAGTCGAAGGCCTTCGACAGATCACAGAACACTCCGACTGTGTACTGCGATCTATCAACAGCCTCCGAAATGCCCGAAACAAACTCATAAATTGCCTTAGTTGTATTTCTACCCTTCCTGAAACCAAACTGGTTTTCACAAAATATGTGATTGCTCTCAAAAAAATAAGATAATCGGTTTAAAGCTACCTTCTCAAATACTTTAGAGAAAGTAGGGAGGATGGAGATAGGCTGATAATTGTCCAAAACTGAAGAATCCCCTTTTTTTAAAACAGGGTTAATAACACTATATTTAAGTATATCCGGGAATTTATGATGGTCAAAAGATCTGTTAATAAGAATTGATAAAGGATAACAGAGTTTATCAGAACAAGCTTTGACTAAAAAAGATGGAATGCCATCCCAGCCAGCCGATTTTGAAGACTTAAGACTTTTTATGACATTAAAAATTTCAGATGAAGTTGTTTTCTTAAAATGAGACATATTTACTAATGGAGTATTCACATTCGCAAGGAAGGCTCTTACGTCATCTACATCTGTACTCAAGTTCAAATTATTACATGTATTTACAAAAAAATTGTTAAAAACTATTGCAATATCATGAGGCTTCTTATATGTAATGTTTCCATGATGAATAGATGTGATTGTTTTGTCTTTACTATTGCCTTGCTCAGCTTTAATTATATCCCATGCAGCCTTTGTTCTGTTATTTGATTTTTCTATAAAACTATTGTTGTAATTAAGTTTTAATGATCGAACACATTTTTTGAAAATTGCTTTGTATTTCTTAACATATGCTAGAAACTCTGGGTCTCTGTTGATCTTACTGAGTTTGTGCAGATATCTTTTTTTCTGACTCGACACCTGAATACCTTTAGTAACCCAGCCTTTAAGATTAAAGTTCCTAGCTTTCCTCGAGGTCTGAAATGGAAAAGAGTCATCAAAATAACTTATGAAAATTTCCAAAAACATTTTGTATGCAGTGTCAACTTGTAAACTACAATCAGTTAAAAAATACCAATTCTGAGATGCCAGATGATTTTTAAATTTATGGATGTTTTCCTTGGAAAAATTTCTGTTCTTATGTTTCCCATTACCTAATGACCTTTTATTGCTAATTAAAATTTTACTTAAAGGAATACATAATAACTGAACCTCATGGTCTGATAGATCAGTGCTAATTACACTAGTGTAATAGTTATCGGAGCTGATAGTACAAAATATGTTATCAATACATGAATTAGTCCTACCAGTAATTCTATGACTGACTGAATCGGATTGAACTGGATCGAGTTAGGTATCGTTCTTTCCGTTATATTCTAAGCTTTCTCCAGAGGTCTGTCTCAGCGCTGTATGTTCTCCGAGCCGATCGTAATTGTAGCAGACAGCTGACGTGCGTATTCGTAAACAGCTTGGTTATCCTCGGACCGATGACTGATGTGTTTTATTATGTTTATCATTTGTTTTAGTGTTAAAAATCAAAAGTAGTGATATACGTGGTGCATTATAAGAAGATTTAAGTGATTTTGAAGGGCTGGTTGATGATCCTGAAGAAGTAGGTAGTGATATTGATGTAAATTATCAGCCAGATTCCTAGCTATGGTTTTTACCTAAAAAATTTTTTGAAACAAATATTCCTTATGTTTATGTATGATATTGAAGCCCATGATTTTCCAAACAAAATGGTATATAGAACATTAGAATTAACATTGTTTTAAGCTTAGATCCGTTTTAATAAAACCTTGCAAATGCGCCAAAAATAGGTGGACATTAAGGCCTAAACTATGGACACTTGGAGGGTTAAACCATAGATTAAACATACTCCCCAAGGGAGTATGTTTAATCTATGGTTAAACCCTAAGCTGAGCAACATTTTTAGAAGATTTTTATAACTGCTAAAAAAAGTTGTTGCTATAAAAGTTGTTTGGCCACATAAATTTAATGTTATTATGACAGCGATTTATTTAAAAATCATAGGTGGTAAACATATGATTATAGGCAACATATTTCGAGAGACATGTGGCCCTATCAACTCTATTTTCATGTTGTATTTATTAATGTTATGTTAAATCTAGGAGCTATTTGAGCCATTTTGAAGATAATTGTGCAAACAACCAAAACCATAATGATGTATGGGATGAATGTATCTTCCATACATTAGTTAATTAAAGATTAATCAACTTTTTAAAGGTCAATCAATTTATTTTTTTCCCTACAGTAAATCTTAGTAATATACTTTAAGCACTTTGTAATATGTAGTTATATGTATTTATAGCCTATTTGACTCTATTCAATACATATTATTTTATGTATAGTGAATAAAGAATGATAAAAAAAATAAAAAAAAATAAAAATGATATGTATAAAAATATAACAACGCTAACCGATAACACCAAGAAAAAAATTTAATTATTTGTTGTGTTGAACCACCCTACAAGTGGAAAGATTAGAAGCAGGGAAATGCTAGGCTCTAAGGTGAAAGTCAGCTCACCAGCCAACAACGATGTGGCAAAATCGCATTCCCTACCTCTTCAGGCCAGCCCTATTCTGAAATCTATTCAACTATAATTATATACTAGTGCACCTGTTGCTCAAATTTGAGCAATTGCGAAGTATTACAGGCGTTAATTTAAAACGAATAACAGTCATAATTCCCGATGACTTAAATAGTCGACTCAAAGAGTATGGAAATACTCACAATGTACATAACAGTTTGATATAATCAACATTTCTTGTAAATATACAGGGTGCGGCAAAAACACCGATCCATTTTCTGCAAAGCACTGTTCAGCGACAGGTCGTCTGAGAGTGGTGGAAGTAGGCTCGTTGGAAAGCCTACACAATGCCATTTTTTGTTGTCATAGAGCAGTGGTCGCCTGAGCTATGTGCGGTTGTTATGGAGTTGTTTTTAAAAAGTATTGAATTCATTCATTGCAACTCAGCAGCATCGGCAATTTCATGCATTCATTCAATCAAAGCGAC